ACGAATCAAATCCTCTTTAGCCAGGTCCCACTTTAGCTTTAACCTTTCCTTGAGTTCCTGCACATACTGTGATATGGTTTTCAAGGAATCATCTGCCCCTTCGTCTGTCCATGTCTTCCTGAGAATGGCCAAGGGTCCAGAAATGTGTCTTCCGAACACCAAGGTCGCAGGTGGAAATCCAGTAGAGGCATTGGGTACTTCCCGGTATGCGAATAGTGCTGCAGACAGATACTCGTCCCACCTCTCTGGCTTTTCCTGGGTTAATCTTCTCAGAAGCGATACCAACGTTCCATTGAACCGCTCATTCTGGCCGTTCGCTTGGGGTCGGTATGGATTGGTGCAAATGTGGTTGAGACTTGATTATCTGAAACACCTCCTCCATTAGTTTCCCTCTAAACTGAGATCCATTGTCTGTCAGTATCTGAGAAGGGAATCCCACTCTTGTGAAAATGCTCATCAATGCCTCTGCCACAGTCTTACTGTCAATCTTCCGAATTGCAATAGCCTCCGGAAAACCTGAACAACAGTCTACCAAGGTCAATATGTAAGCATTCTTCTTCTTTGTGAGAGGAAGTGGTCCCACCAAATCGACCGCCACCCTTTCAAAAGGTGTGGAGGTGACAGGGGTTCCCCCAGTCCGACTGGTGCATTCCTGCCTTTGGGAGCTACCTTGTGGCACTCCGGACAGGATTTGACATAACGCATGATATCTGCTGACATACCTGGCCAAAAGTAATGACAGGCAATGCGTTGTGTCGTTGCATGAATTCCCATATGGGCACTATAGGCTATAGTGTGTCCCATCTGGAGAATCTGCTGTCTATATGTTTTGCGTACCACCAGTTGACTGTGTTCTGTATACTTGTCACCTGCCCATCTGTAAAGTAACTTACCTTTCATGAAGAATTCTTTTTTCAAAGGGGGATTGTGACTTGCAGTTAACTTTTTAAAACATGCCTTAAGAGTTGGGTCACTACTTTGGGCCACCTTAATTTCCCCAGGAAGAGGATTTACATGAGGAGAATCCTCTGAGTCACTCTTATGTTGTTCTCGGGTGGTCACCGCAGCAAGATGCTCTGAAGGTTTCTTCGGCTCTGCTAAAAATACATAAGTAGCGCCAAGAATTAAATCAAAGGTACAGTGTTCAATCAAGCACTGCAGCCTCAATTACCTCCGAGACATACTTTGAACGGACCCTAATTTTAGCAATCGGCAAGTTTAAAGGTTTAGCATCCAATGTGGCACATTGGAGCTCTATGAATCTGCCAGTATACTGGTCAGGTTTTACAAACTCTGGCCTCACCACACAGCTGTATGACAATCCACTGTCATAAAGACAGTTTAAAAAATATCCATTAGCCCAGACCCTCTCTACCACAGGTGGCCTATTGGAACCATTGTACAACTTTTCCTGGGTAGAAGGTACCACAGTAGACAACAAAGCTGATACTTGTAAAACCCCTGACTGTTTGGATTTACATTCCTTAGTCCAGTGGTTATTATTCTTACAAATATGGCAGTAAGGCTTTTTAGGCCCATTAAAGGGTTGTCTATGTTGTGTTGCCTGAAATTTTGAGGGGGTCTGGGGTTGTGCTTGGGATGTATTCTTTTTAGGGGATTCACGTGGATGAGTTTTATGACCATTACCATTACTCTTCCCTTGGCCCTGGGCCTTGGGTTTCCCACCTATACACACCTCTTTATGTGCCTATTTCATACCTCTCAGCATACATCAACATCTCATTCAGTCTGTCAGCACCATTCTCCGTCAGGAAGTTTTGCATAGGCCGAGGTAATGTCTCTCGGAGTTGTTCCGTTAGGACCATCTCCTGTAAATCTTCAAAAGAAGAGGAGTATCCAGACATTTCCCTCCACCTGGTCAAATATCCCCGAAGGCGACTGGCGAACTGGGGATAGTTCTCCCCTGTCATCTTTCTCTCATTTCTGAACTTCTGACTGTATGTCGCAGCATTAAGTTCGAAACGTTTCAGTAAAGCCTGACACAATGCATCATAATCAGTCTCAGTACCGGTGGGCATCCGTTGATAAATCTCGTATGCCTCACCCCTCAAACCTTGAGCCAACTTCAGCGTGTACATGTTCCTTTCCAAATTGTACAAAGATGCCAATTTGCCAAATCGGTCTAGGTACTGTTCAATATTTTCAGCCTTCGGGTCGAAGACTGGCATAGGAAAGTTCATCGCTTGAGCTGAGCTACTGTGCGTTGATGCACCATCAATCTCAGGTGTTGGAGATCTGGGTCTATTACCCTCTCTCTGTGCCTGAAGTTCCAATTCTCTTAATCTCACCTCCTGTTCCAAGTTCATTCTTTCTGATTCCTGTTCCAATCTCATTCTTTCTGACTCCCTCTCAGACTCAATTCAGAGTCTCTCAGATTCCATTCTGAGTCGTTCGGTTTCTTTCTCTGTCTCCAGTCTGAGTCTCTCAGCCTCACGGGCTTCCATCCTCATCTCACGTTCCGTGGTTTTAATCCACTCGGTCATTTCTTTACCCTCCAATCCCATCTGGACAGCCATGTCCTTCAATTCCTGTATGGAAATTTTTGACTGCGACATGCTGTCTTGTCAATCTAACAGTCCACAACAAAATATATTGTCACCAACAATATAAATATAATCAACAATAGATTAAATTATCACCACCAACTAAGGGTGTACCTAACCCAATGTACTTGAACACCACAAAACACCACAATGATTACAAATCACTCCTAGGAGTACATTCTAAGAACTGACCCAGAATAGTCACAACTGTGTTAACAAAATACAAACACTGAACAACTCCTGGCCAAGATCACCAGCAACTTTAAAGATTGAACAGAGTATACAAACAATCCCACGACAAGACCACAGATTTTTGGAGATATGTTGTTCTGTCACATATCACTCCTGTCACGTGCCGGATATAAGGATTTCTCCTTCAGAACCAACAGCACTCAGAAATAATTATGTTGAGTCGTTTGGCTCGTATTGGTCTAAGGGATTCCCCGTGGCCAATATACGATCAACTTATTTCTGGAGTTGGGCAACTCAAGTTTTGGCACTACAAAATATATCTGTGTATAAATACAATATTCTTTGGCACACTTGGCTGGACATCCCCACTACTTACACAAAAAAGCCCCCAGGTTATGATAGTTCATTATCATAACCATGTTAACACATATAATATTTATGATTCATACACACACAAATGCTAAACACTTAAAAAGGTGAAATAGAGACACCTAAGTCAGCCATGAAAATAAATGCATGTAATCAATACAACATATACATATATATAATAGTGAAGTAGATGCCAGATCTCAATAGATGGATTCCAGAATACAATGTCCAGATTACAAAGACAACCAAACAGAAAGAAAGTCCTGGAGGTGGCACCTCGTCATCATAAGACCGCAGGTGAGCTGTGGGGAATAAAGCATGTTATAGAGGTAAACTAGCACTTATCCTCTTTCTATCCTTGATGCTTCCCTCAGCTCCTGATGATTCAACTGTCTTTGGTAATTCTGTTTCAACTGGATCAGATGGTGGGGAAGTACCTCACCATAGAGGACACCGCAATTGGATAGGCACTCAGCAAATCTCTCCCACCAGTCAGGTCACACACTGTCCCTGAGCTACACACATGCTCTGGCACTGTAGGATGTTTGGGGTATATGGCACCCCATGGTGTTGATGTCTGGACTTCACAAGTGGTAATTGGTTGACAATTGGTTGATTGATGGTTGGTGGGTGTTGGTTGGACTGTGATTTTTCTGCCAGCTCTTCACATAGGTTTCATCCTGTCAAGAGAGAACTCAGAATTAGTCATCATCCAGAGGGTATCATCTTGACAGGAAAGACAGAATAAGTATCAGTCACCACCCCAAAACAGCCTACTTCACCTCTGCTCCTGTTTCATTCTTAAGAGTGCACTATCAAGACCAGGAGACAATGTCTCCTATCATTCATCTGTCTGTTTAGTGCAAGAGATGGAAAGTCGATATATAGTGGAAATAAATAGACACTCTAACACATATATAAATCTCTTTCCCCCCCCCCTCCCATCTGCACACAGACACCACCATTTACCGTCAGTACCCCTGTTCCCTACGACTCTCAAGTCATTTCCACACATCCATTGATCTGGGTCAACCACACTCACGCAGATCTGTCTGTCCACGTACTGACCCGAATTCTGTCCCCATTCGTAAGCACAAACTTCTGTTGTTAGTTTAAATGGTACACACTTGTAAGGTTATTAGTTTTACCTGTATGTGTGGGTTATTTAGGGCATAGGCTATTTAGTCTGTACAGAGGAAGGTCTAAGTTCGAATCCGCTTCTCTAGCGATCAAGAACGGTCGAACTATGTGTGATCCCACAGCCGATTCTGATCTCTCTACAGCAGTGACCACTTTAACAGACATCATTTAAGGTACTCGTAAACTATAATTAACTTACCCAAGCATATGAAAAGTCCCCGACATTACAGATCGCCTTCTGAAAGTGAAATTTTCTGGCGTCGATGCATACATCTGAACGCTAGGAAAGCCGGCAGAAAGAATGGCGCAAAATTCTCAATTCGGGCGTCGGTAAGAAGAAGTTCCCTGTATACATGAGCAAGGAGTAAATCAGTTTCTAAGAAACCTCAAATAACTCCAGTAACATTTATCAAATAGTTGCAAATTTGAAAATGACGCTAAGTCAAAGCAACTAAAAGATGTAGATATTATAATTATGTCCGATAAAGGCATATATCGATATAAGGGACTATATACATTTCCGGACGAGTCCAAGTTTGAATGTTGTGTCGAGTACAGGTAAGTCAAGTCCCCACTCTTTAGGGGTGATGTGTAATGGCTTATCATACCACGACAGTATGTATGTGAGTGTGTGTATGTGTGTGTATATATGTGTGTGTGTGTGTATGCATGTATATGAGCTTGTGTGTTTAGCTAGAAATTAACAAACAGTACATTAATATTTGTTTTCCTCAGGTATATTACCGTACTTCCATCCACAAAACCAGTACCTAGAACTACAGCAGGCGAAGTAGGCTGGCGTTCAGGGGACCCGCTCCTTTCACTGGACAAGTATGGTAGTTACGCAAGACCTTGCGGCAGCATCTTGAAACAACTAAACTGGCCCCGTGATGCAATAAATTAACGCCTATTTTGTCTTTTGCTATAATTTCTTTGTTTTTACATTTGAGAAATCTGTTGGTATAGAGCATCCCGTGTTTTCTTTGTAACTAAATCAAGCCACAGTCTTCTCTTTGTCTACCAAGAGTTATGTCTGACACATATGATCTTCCATGATGTCAGATTGTCCATCAGACTCTGTTGGTCTTCTTCTGTCTTCCATCCAAACGATTCCTTTGTTACGACGTACTTTAGTCGATCCTCCTTATAACGTATCCAGAGAATGTAAACTGTATTTTTCTGAGGATTATTGGGGAAAAGGGGGTGGGTGGTCTTTGAGAATATTTTTTTTTTTAAGATATCATCAGTATGTTTTGTATCTCTTCATGCGTTTACAAATGAGTTAAGATAACAACCAACATCGCAATACTCGGGTCAGTTCATTAAGTAAGGCGTCTTTACCTTCAGCAGCCTGTCGCTATTCCAATGGTACCATTAGCAGTTTGACTTAAGTCCCTCTTACATTTTCTTTGAGTGTTGAATGTTGGTCACATCCCAGGGACAACTCCCGCCGCGCCATTCTTCCTTGACCGTGATCATCTCTTTACTCGTCCCCAAAGGACCTTGACCACATTTGTTATGCATCATTTTATCGTCCAATTGTGCACGTTCAGCCCGTGTGTCTGAAGTTCGTTACTAGGCACACCTCCATTTACTGGAGAACGTGAACTAACGGAACCTCTTAACGATATTTTCCACTCTGCACGAAGCATGCCTGGTTCTACGTTTTTCATCATGCTTTGTAAGTCTATAATGATCATGACCTGTATGTATAGCTAGTTCTCAAGCCACTGAAAGCTTTAATGATTGCCTATACTCCTAGTCTCAGATTATAAGTGGTATCCTATGCTAGGCTTTATTGCACTCAGAGGGGAAAATGGACCCACACATACTCGCCAGAACAATACTCAGCTTCTATGACTACAAGTTTCATATAGAGAAAACCGCTAGGAGAGTTGCTCCTAAAAAAAAAAAAAAGGCTTCCGACTCAACTTTTTAAAAATAGCTAACAAACAACAGACCGCCAACTTGGGAACAAGCACTCAACTGGACACAACCTGACACTTTACCTTATACCATGAGAAGAAGGGATCCCTCCTTAAATGGGCGCCCAAACCTCGCTGACATACTACTTATAGGTTTCAAAGATTCTGCCTTATTCGACTAGGTTAGTTACGTATCCTTTACAGGGCGTTGCAGAACTAACCCCAACAGCTCCTGGCTCCTTATTCCACTATGGTGCTCTGAAATAGAACTTCAGAGCACGTCTTACAAGATTGCCCCAAAGTTGCTAGTCATAGCAAAAACACTGGCCAACAAGAGTTACCTAAAAGACTAACTATGAGGTACCTCTGGAGATCTCAAGTGCAACTGCTTGTTTGTGCCCCATACCTCAATGGATCCATAACAAACATTAATCGCTGAAAAACATGTATCCATCTACGGGCGTTTTTGGTCGTTCTTCTAAAAACACACACACGTCTCTGCAGTTTCCCCAAACTGGGAGACACAGCGAATAACTGTGAGTACATGAAATGAGTAGTTTAGTATAGAGATGAAATTTATCAAACCTACATGCATTGGGGAAGGAGGTCGTCTCCGATTGAAGACTGATTTGATCTATTTAATAGTTCTTTAAACTCCTTTAGCTATTTTCATTGTCGCGATTACAACTAAAGGGGATAAAGACGATGGTGACGATACATTACAATATAAATTTTCAGTCTGAGGATTAAAGATATGCTGTAGGTTCCTACTGTCTTTAGAATTCGTTTATGAAATAATTGCATTAGTAATAATAAGTAACGTGTGTGTGTGTGTTAATAAATACCAGCAGAACTGCCCAGTCGTATAGTGTCAGTGAGACTATTAGAATAAACTGAACTTAAATATTTTGTGTAATTGAGTTGGATGCTTAATAGTGCGTCTAACAGTTCGTCAGTGCATCTATCTGTTAGTCTGCCTGTTTGTTTGTGTCCTAAATTGCATGCAGCATTTTTAGTTCACATTATAATATGCTTTCCTCGTACAAATAATTTGCATACTTTTCTTTGCAACTGAAGTGTTCTTTTAGAAACTTACAGTTTGTTTGTTGTTTTCTCTGTAGACTAAGCTTAATATTTTCCCCTGAAGATAGAGGTCAGGTCATGGGGACAATGGCTACAGTCGCCATCTTGTCTGATCATTATGAAGAATAAATCAACGGCAGACTACCGTCTTCATTAACAAGGGGAAAAACTAATTTGATTCAACAAAATGGAATAATTACGGGAGACTTCCCTTTCCACTCATCCTCCAAAGAGAGCGAACAAGAAAGACAGAGTGAGAGAGAAAGAGAGAGAGAGAGAGAGGGAGGGAGAGAGAGAGAGAGAGAGAGAGAGAGAGTGAGAGAGAGAGAGAGAGAGCCGGTAGACAGAGAAATAGAGACCAACAAATAGAAAGTCACTGACAGACAGGCAGACGGAGGGAGACCATGAGAGGAAATACTGTAATAGGTTTAACATTCAGTTTCGTCATTTTTTGTCATTTGAAGCCCTACTCCGGCTTTTGCCAGGGGCCGCAATATAGGCAGGCCATACATATGGCCAAATGTCTGAACGCGGTTTCTGGGACCTCTCCACGGCGATCCTCATCCGCATGGTGGCACTTTGTGTCATCGGGTGTTTATCGCTTGTGTGATGTCCTGGTGGGGTAGAAAGTCAGTCAGTCAGTCATGAGAGGAAATGTTGGACACTTTGTCATCATAGGATAGAAGATTACGTGTATCACTAATTCCCGATCTATACCAGACCTAGGTCTGTGACCAGACGAATTACCAACGTCACAAGACAATCAATATAAAGGTGTTGAAAATGCTATAAAAATACTGGTCAACAAATATTTAGATTTTTTGTGGGTACTAGAATTTGATTAAATGACAAATTTACATTACAGTAATAAACACAATGAATGCCTTTTTTAAATCACTGGAATAGAACAGTTCGTCTTTCCATTTAAGCATTTTTTTTTTTTTTTAAATTGATGTTGCATACTCAGTTAATAGATGTTTCAACATAAGACGATAGAAATAATAAATCGAAAATATTTAAAGTTGACATCTGATGCTTTAAAAAGAAACATGTGAACTTGCCCGTCGTTATTCGGGTTCTGTTCAAGCTCTATTTGCTTGCCTCTTGTTGTTTGGTTCATACAACGGATCAACATTATGGTACAAGGATTGTAACCCACAAGTACTCCATTCCACAAGCAATCCTGTCCGAAAAATCTCGCGCAGTGCACGAACTCCGTAGCACAGGCGAGGATGCTGAAATACTTTAGGTAGATTTTTAACTCGAAGTTTTTCCCACGCAGTGCCGGTAGGCTACTCTTTTCGATTTCAAACTGCCAAGGATTTTTTTTCACGTGAACAACAATACACACGGGCGTCCGATCTTACTTCCTAGAGACCAGTGAAAAAATCCCAGTCTTTACCGGGGCCTGAACCCGGGACAACCAGCACTCGAGGCGAGTGTTTCTTGTCACAGTCCAGCAGTAATCAGCAAGCACTGAAGAGCTCCAATTGCCTTGATACCTTGTCTCCATAGCAAAAATTTTATGATGAAATCGTTTACTATTTTCATCACTAATAAACTATCCTCCAAGTCGTCCCCCTATAGGATGCAATTTTTCGGTATTTTGAAGCCCCACCCTGGCTTTTGCGGGGGCCCTAAACATAGCCGGGCCATTAAAAGGGCCTTACCGTTGAACAGGGTTTCTTCTACCTCTCCATGTGAAATCCTCATCCGCATGGTGGCACCTTGTGCTACCGGCTGTTTATCGCTTGTGTGATTTTCTGGTGGAGTACAACTTACCTACCTACCTATGCACCTACCTACCTACCTACCTACCTACCTACCTACCTACCTACCTACCTACCTACCTACCTAACAACCTAAATACCTACCTATCTAACTACATAACTACCTAACTACATAACTACCTAACTACCTACCTAATTACCTACCTAATTACCTAACTACCTAACTACCTACCTACCTAACTACCTACCTACCTACCTACCTACCTACCTAATTACCTAACTACCTACCTACCTACCTAACTACCTACCTTACTTCCTTACTATCTACCTACATACATCACTGACAGCTTCGCAGTTTAACGTAAAGAAATCCAGATAAGAATTGGAAAACAAACTCCTGAATGTTCAAGACATGTTGCAGCTGAGACTCCCATACTTTAGAAGGAGATTTTACATAATCTCATGGTAATTATCAGAATTATTGTTTCAAAGAAAATTCTCCACCACTGACTTATAATGCTAGCAATGTAGCTTTTCCCTTGCCATGCAACAGGCAAACTAACTTCTGATAGTGAAGAAGATGTCGAATTTGCGGACCAATAAATATCTCCTCTTTTTTTAGCTTCACTGAGGCTTGGAGATTTTCTAATGAGTTATTTGAATTCGTCATCTGTTTTCTCCATGACCTTGACAAAGTTTTTCATGAGATCCAGCTTAATGTGCAAGGGTGGCAACCAAATCTTGCTGGTGACAAGTGCGGGGTTTTCTACGGTTTTGCCGTCAGGCTGCAATGACCGCCTGATAGGCCAATGTCTTCTGATGAAGTGGCCATATCGTGCATGGCTATCCCATTCAAAGAGAAAGCAACAGTACCTGGTAAATCCACCCTGTAGTCCAAGCTGAAGAGCGAACACTTTTATAAAGTGACCAATGATGGTGATCGTAGTTTATGCACTTCAAAAGCTGCTTTAAGTTTTCATAAGTTTCTTTCATGTGAACTGTCTGACCAACTGAAATTGACCGTAACACACTGCCATTTTTCAACAAAACAATTTTGAGACTCGTCTTGCGTGAATCAATGAAATGCTTCGACTTTTCCAGTTTGTAATTGAATGTTAGGGCTGCCATTAGACCAGAAACGTTGTGACATGCAGAAAGGTCATCTT